TCAGAGTACGTATGTGTGCATTCAGAATCTGTTTTAACAAAAAAATTTTCAAATGACCAATTACGAGGTAAGCAAACTTACGCATTCCATTTTTGTTGAAGAAGCAGCTGTCAATGATATCAAAAAGCCTGGATTTTAATTTGTCGTGGGGAATTGTTGTGTATAAAGTTGAAAAGTCGTAAGTTTTTATGCTGTTAATTTTTTTAAAGTCTTGTAGTTTCAAATTGTCCAAAAGTTCTTTAGAATTTTTAAGCATCCACATCTGATTTACACAACTTCTTGAATATATAGTTGTACAGTACTCTTGAAGTTTTTCCTTCACTACTGTCAATATTTTAGTGAGAAGTAACGAAAGAGGCTTGGTTGAACATTTACTGGAACCTGCAATGTATCTTTGTTTGTAAGGATTCTTATGAAGTTTCGGAATCCAATATATATAAGGTAGTTCAAATTCATTTTGGCTCTGTGGAATATTAAAAGTATTCAAAACTGACAGTGATTTTGAAGAATGTCTTCCTTAGAAAGAGAAGTATATGTATAAGTAGGATTACCACTTGTAGAATTAAATCCAAGTTCTTCTAGAATGCAATTTATATAATGAGCCTTACAAACGAAGACAATGTTGTTACCTGCTTTGTCGGCAGGAACCAGTACGTACTGATCGTGTAATCTATCTAATTCTTTTTTCACTTCTGGTTTATTGAACACAGAAGGATAGATGGTTTTCATTTTGCCCCTCAATCTTTTAATACGTGACTTTAACATGGATCTGATACATTTAATCCATTCTGACAAGGTGTCAATGTCTTCTTTTTCATATCTAGCCCATCGTCTGGCGTAATTTTCAATAGAATCCATAATATTTATGAAATTCCGACGCCAGTTGAAGGATCGGGGTTCCCTATATTTAGGACCTTTTAAAACAAGTGATCTAAGGTCCTCATTACGAACTATTTTTACGTCACCTGTAATAACGTGTCCAGCAGGACTATAGTTATAGGGCGAAGAAGAACATGAACACGAAAGGGGATTATTTTTCAGATAGTCGATATCCAGACCATGTAAAGTGTTTTTGTAATTGAAAAGTTTGGAAGCAATGGTCGATGTATATTTGTAGGAAATACAAGGCGTAGTCTTTAACTTGAAATATGGTGGAATACAAGACTGGACCCTTTTGTGATTAAGAATATTACTTATATTAACCGCGTCAATTCCTTTATTGGCATATTGAAGTTTAAGGAAAAGACGGATTGTTTTAGCTGCATTTTCTTCCGTGAAACGTGCGGGCTTAAAAAGCCTATGATGTGCAATATCCATAATCACAGAACCGAGCCTATATTCAGGTGTCGAGGAATCTAAATTTGGATGTTCCTTGGTCTTTTCAAGAGGACTATTTAAAAGTTTCAAAGGGACAGAGTAAAGTTTGGTTCGAAAATGATGTAGACCTAACTGTTGATTTACATAAGGTAGTAATGAATCAAAAGAGACGTCGTGTATTGCAGGTTTATTGTACGAACGATGTCCATGACTACGCTTACGTCTCTGAGTATTGTTAAAAAGTCCCATCACATTTACATTATTACACTGCGGGCTTGTAAGATTTCCAACACTATCGACATTGTCATTACATCCATAGGGAAAGGCTGTCCCTAGTTTCCTAATCCAAAATTCTTCACGTTGTCTACGGAAAGGTGTACTCAACGACGGACTATTTGTGTGGTGATAAATCTTTTCCAGAATTCTAACTTTCATTGATAAAATAGAATGATCAGGTGAATTAAAATGTTTATATAAAAGCTGCTGACCACCATGATTTATTTGAAATCGATGACCTGATATTCTTTTGTTAAGCGATCCCTTGGTTTCACCGACATAAATAAGTCCACACAGATTACATTCTATTCCATAGACAACATTAGAAGATTTGCAGTTCAGATTTTCCCAAGTTTTGGTATAGAAGCTCTGTCCAGTAAGATTACTGGTGAAAGAAGTGTCAGTTATCAAAATGTCACAGGTTTTACAGTTTCGCACAGAACATTTTGAAACCGAAGACATTGGATCGGAAAAGGAATCATCCAATATATTTGTAATAGAAACTTTACACTCTTTCAATTTGGTATATGATGTATTGGTTTTATACCAAAACTGGGAATCTGAAGACTGTACATATGACATATGTTTAATATCCCTGAGGATAATCCGAGGGGCACCAAAAGAACTCCTTGAGTCTGTGTCCCTTATAGACTCAAAGGAGTGACGCCTTTTTATACTGGGCGACGCGCCTGCCAGTATCATTTCGTTATTATGTGTACTCATGCATGAATAAGTACCGAACGACAAGTATCCTCGGGGACAAATTGTCCACCAGCAGAGATACATGTTCGGTGGTTAAAAGAAGGATATGGAAATAACGAACAGTATTCAATCTCAACGTCCATTAAACAAATATACAAAATAAGAGCAGAGCAAACACGGACCTCCGAAACATCAGAGGTGGGATCAGGTGCCATGGAGGAGTGAGCATCCCCTGCCGACCGGTCACACCCGCCGTGTGCTCGTTGTCATAATCAGGAAATAACGGAAAAATCCGTGGTCAATTCAGTGTATAAATAATGGACTAACAATTGGTATGAAAAACGTCAGTCAGCATTTCATTCAATGATAAATTGTATTTGCTGACAAGGTCATTGTATCGACCATAGAATTTACGAAATGATGACTACTAATTTAGTAATCAATAATTCAATTTTATTTTAATGTGCGGTACACTGCTGTTTTTACTTTGATTACTGAAAATTTCAAATTTAACTTCGAGTTCGGCAAATTTCTCACCGGAAGTCTTGTTGCTTAGGACCCTCGCTGGTTTTGTGGTAGAGTCTGTTGAACTCCAACTTGGACTTGTCTCGATAGACTCTCTAAAAGGTACATTAATTATTTGGAATACCAATTCAATCAATAGTCCTCCAAAGGGAAGTATGTCATTAAAATATAAAACACACTCTATTGCGCTAAAATTTTCAACCACTTGGCCTTTGTCAAGCGTATAAAAACGACCATCTTAAACAGAGCTAGGTAAAATCTATTCCGTCCAATCTAATACACAACTTACTGTGACGTAATACCTCTCGTTGGGACACGAACCCGATCTTAATTTGGCACTTCTAAGGTGCGGATCCAAATATCCTACATTGCATCTACTTTTCTCATTTAGATTCAGAGGTGTATTAGGCCTATCACTTAAAAAGGCTGAAAATTTTGCTAAGAACTGAAATCCCCCTATTCCGGATGCAGAATTAAAGGGAGTTTTTATGCAAAAAAAGGCTGAAATCAACCAATCGACTGAACGTTTCAGATATTTTCTGCCAAGTTGATTTGTCTTTCGGAACTCATCAGGATTCATAATAATGAACCGACATTCCATAGTAAAAGACACAGTGATGTGATTGGTTTATGAAAATATCACGTGATAACCTTTTTTTTCACGGTAATTTCAATGAACCGGTCACTATATACCAACACAAATACCACAAGAACATATATAGGACAAACAACAAAATTTTTGTATAAATGATAAACTAAGCGGTCAATATAGGTTATATGTATATTGTACCGATTTTACATAAAATTTACTAGACAACTTGACTTGACTTTGATACCCACAAATCTTCTCATTTACATATGTACTTACTGAATACATCGGGGCAAGTATCTCCATCTCTATTTCGCACGACTGGAAAGGGTAGCTTTCTGTTCCCCACTAGATTTATGTTGACTGTGCACTCGGAGACTCGAATTTCGCGAATGTTAAGTTGCGCACCAAGAAAAATACTATAACAGTTCCATCGCGTTTGCGTACAATCTACAACTCCAAGGTAGTTTGGACATCTATGACATCTAATTTGCACACAAACAATTGTATACCAGTCAAAAATTAAACACATCACAAAACACGTCTTCATCTTTCCGTTCATTGGAATGGCGCGACTTTTGCACGGACTTTTCACCCGTCATCAGTCAGCTGATTGTAAGGGATAAACTAATAGGGTAAAGGCTAATGCGGGAATGAAAAACAATAGTTCTAGTGTGTTGGGATAATTATACTGACATTTAATATGATGGGTCGATCAGTGCAGGAGGAATACATGATTTCAAACTTCATAAACTGCATGTCACTCATACATTTAGACCGTGTAACAGCAGTACTCTCTCTCTCTCTCTTTCTTTAAATTTAAAAATATAGAAGAATATAGAAGATAAGATAACACATCAGTATTGTGTCAGTTGAATCTAAAGTAAAACGTACTAAATATCTCATTTCTCTCTCTCTCTCTCTTTTTTTTTAATATATATATATATTCTTGTGTATCTACATACGGAAATAAAAGTAACAATGCTTGTACTGATACTAGGTCATGTCAGGACACGCTACACTACCTTTGCGCAGGTGTATCGTGATAAAGCGGAATTTTTAAAAATTATTTAGAATTGCGTGCTTCCATTAAAAGAGATTATGATGAAAGGTAATTATCATCTAACTATGTATGATTAACAGCTAATTATTCAATTGACGTTTTAAAAACTTCAAATGGATATATTAAAAGGGTCGTGACATACACAGATAAAAGCCATGACGTTTGCACTTATTGAAATACTAGGTCATGTCAGAACACGCTACACTACCTTTGTGCGCAGGTGTATCGTGAAAAAGCGGAATTTTTAAAATGATTAGAATTGCCCGCTTTCATTTGAAGAGATTAAGTACGACAGATGATGAGCTAATTAATGCATCAAATTAATTACTGTTCCTCATATCCAAACTTAAAAAAAAATAGCAATGTAACCATGACAAACACCCTAAAAGACTATATACCATTTCTCTTGTATAACTTTTCAGTCTACTTACTTCCTCCCTATGGGTATAAATATGGGAGGAGTAATCTTTCACGGTACCTTTCACCAAAGAAAAAGAAGAAAGATAGCAGTAATAGTGAGAGAAAAATATGGCAGACGAAATTTTCAACTTTCTGTAAGTAGATCAGATCTTAATCTAATGTTGTTAATTGATAACAATTCTCAATTTTAACTTTTAAAAAGATCGCTGTGGACCAACTTCAGATATCCGATGTATAATGACCAATATTGTTAGTAGTATTTTTTTGGTGAACCTGATATCAATTTGAAGGGCTTATCAAATGAAAATTATCCACCATAGAAATTTTCAGAATTTTGATTTATACTCGAAGCATCTCACCTTTTGATTTAACATTGAAATTTATGGGTAGAGTGCATTTAATTCTGATATCTTTAGATGAAATTATATTTTTTCAAATAAATCTCCTGGTAGAAAGTTACATATACTTCCTCTCTATCAGGATATTAATTAAAATTAATTAAAATTAATCTTTTACGATGTAAATTTTCAGAAAATAAGATTTTTCTCAATTTTATCAAAAGTAGATAACTCTTCACGAAAGTCCCGAGTGCAAGAGGGCCAGCTTCTAATTATGTACAATTCCTGTAAATTTGGTGTACTTCACTATTGTCGTTACTGAACTATGGTTATTTATGATCATTTCAATCACTAAGATGTGTCCATTTACCTCTCATTACATTTTTAGTCATTCTGTTTTATTTTATTTCAGAGATCTTACAAACTCCGCCAACTCTTTCGAAGAGTTTGAGGCTCTATGGGTACAGATGGGAAAAGATCTTGAAAATGAAGATTCCCCCCCTTCTCCTCAAAGAACGGTCACAATCAAACCTGTCGATGCAAACACTTTTGAAAGGTACGAACTTTTACAATTAGAGTTATCGTTCTTACCACACTTAGACTTAGTCTTGCTAGGAGATATATTATATATATAATTTATCGATTATTCCTAAATGATTAAGCTACAATTGATGTTTTAAGATCAACAAAAGTGTATGTTTGTTTTCTCAAATATTTTTCAGTGCATCAAATGAAAGCAAGACATTCATTACATTAGAACCATCAACCCCCGTCGTCCCGCCGTCCTCAACACCCACGTACTCCCCTCCAGCTGATGAAAACTGGCCACCAGTTGTTGTTGTTGATGAAGAAACGGGCGAGGGATCGTTTGAAAATGTGGAGAATTCTATCCTGACAGATATTTCTATTTTTAGTAACCACGGCAACACCGTTCATCGAAATCAAAAACCGATACACAGAATTATGTATCATAGTGTATTCTACTTGTGTGCCAAGTTATACTGAAATCAAACCAAAACTGTAGGAGAAGTAGCATTTTGAAAGAATTTCACAGAAATTTCTATTTTTAGTAACCACGGCAACACCGTTCATCGAAATCAAAAACCGATACACAGAATTATGTATCTTAGTGTGGTCTACTTGTGTGCCAAGTTATATTGAAATCAGACAAAACTGTACGAGGAGTAGCATTTTGAAGGAATTTCACAGAAATTTCTATTTTTAGTAACCACGGCAACACCGTTCATCGAAAATAAAAACCGATACACAGATTTATGTATCTTAGTGTATTCTACTTGTGTGCCAAGTTATATTGAAATCAGACCAAAACTGTAGGAGGAGCAGCATTTTGAAAGAATTTCACAGCAATTTCTATTTTTAGTAACAACGGCAACACCATTAATCGAAATCAAAAACCGATACACAGAATTTCATAGTCAATAATTGGAATTATCAAATTTTTTATTATCAAAGTTTTCCCTTAAATGTAAGGTTCCTAGTTTTCCAGACATGCAAGCTGTTCTTTATTTTTTCCAACCATATTGCGTTACTATCAATACCAAATCCATGATTTACCCCAACGTTTTTATATTAGCTTTTATCCACTGTATCTTTTTAAATTTTGGTGTTTTACCTTTGGATTTGCCTATAAACAGGCCCTTTGTTTTCGAGAAATTGAATTTTGCCCAAGAGGCTTTTTCATATATTTCTATCACATTGAAGGAATGTATTATAGATTCTTCGTCCTTATTAAAAAGTTGTGTATCGTCTGCGAACATATTTATTTTACATTCTATTGTTTTTATCTTTGTTAGGAATTAAAATACCTTTTATCTGCGGATTTTGTCAAATATCACAGGCCATAGGCTCTATTTGAAGAACAGATAGCAATGGAGCAATAGGGCAACCTTGTCTTGCCGATCTTGAGATTGGAAAGTATTGAGCTACAAATCAGTTAGTTTTAATGCATGTTTTTGATTTAATAAGAAGCATTTTTATCCAATCGCAATATTTTTTACCAAAGTTAAATCTTTTTAATGTTGCTTCTACCCAACCCCATTCAATTCTATCGAACGCTTTTTGTTGATCTTGAAATATAATTGCTCCTTCTAAATCTTCATCATCAGCATAATCAATAATATCTTGAATCAGTCTATTTGCATCACTTATGTTTCTGCCTAACAAATCCTTTTTGGTCTGGGTGAATTAATTTCGGTAGAACTTTTTTTAATCTCTCGGCGAGTATTTAAGCTATAATTTTATAATCATTGTTCAGCATTGTTAAAGGTCTCCGATTTTTTTTTATATCTTTTCTTTCATTCCCTTTATGTATTAATGAAATGACTCCTTTTGTTGGCGAGTCACAAAGTGTGGCCCTATGAAAAATGTGTTTTATAACTTTTGAAAATTCATTTTTAATTATATCCCAGAAAAAGTTGATAAAATCCCATCTTCACCGGGAGATTTATTTGGCTTTAATGACACCACTGCTAGATATATTTCTTGATCGCTTATAGCACTATCGAGCATGATTACATCACAATCGTCTAATTTATATTGTACTTCCGCTAATAATGATTCCACACTTTCACTATCCCTTTAAAATTAATTTGCTCTTCGATGATTGAATCAATGTCAGTTTTATAGGTACCATTTTCTGTTTTTATTCTATTCCACAATTTTTTATCTCCATTACTGTTTTCTAATTGTGCAATTCATGCGCTTAAAAAAAACATTTTACAACTATTTGTGTAATACTGATAAGCTCTTTAATGTATAAGCTCGTCCTCATCAATGTCCATAGGTTTCTATCTTCATATCTTCATCATCTTGTGTAGTACTGTCGCGGTCATCTTTGATTTCATCCTATTCTGTTCCTTCTTCTTGCACAGTTTCTTCTTGAATGACCTCTTCAACGTCTTGGGTAGTGCTAGTACTAGCACGGTCATCTTCTTTATTTTTATATTGTTCTTTCTTTTCTTCTTCCTCTTGAATTCCTTGAGTTGTTTTATGTTCACTAAATTGAATTTACATGGTCTACAGATGATAAAACTTTGTAAATGATTTGAACTATTAAGACTTAAATCAGTCCTCAACTTGTTTTTTAGTACCTGTTCATATGTGTTTCTTTAAAAGATGGTCATTTGTAGTACTTGTATTGGTAATTATAATAATTATGATTGAATTTATAACACTGTATTCTTAAAACGCTTTACAGTAAAAGCTATGTTATCAATAAATGACCTCTGGTTTTATATACCTGATAATTAATGTCACTCTAATCTCTTCGTCGTCCAATAAGTTATTTGTGGTCCTGAAAAAAGAGGAAAATAAGTTGATTTTTTTTGTTATCCATGTAGAAGCACACAGTTTTAGACAAGTTAAAAATTTACACTTAAAGAGGCTTTAAAGTTTGAATTATACTAAGTATATAAAGATACTATCTTTTAATTTTTTAAATGTACCTTAGCGTGAATTCCATTTTCTTTTACGTTTCTAATCTTCGAACACGGAGTTGTGTCAGCAGAAAAAAAAGTGTTGTAGTAGAGGGAGAACTTAGTATATAATTTGGTTAAATATACTTCATGTCATAGTAACTCCTCCTCTTTTTACGTTCTTTAATTCATGATTGGAAGAGTATTTGTACACTTTATCTTTTTTAAAGAAAGTTGACAGAGATAGACTGTATAGTTTTATTTACCATCAATTGTTAAATTTCCATCCAAAATTACGAACTTTTTTATTGGAGTAACTTACAAATATATACCAGCGAATAAGAAGTCTTTTACAATGTATGAACCACCCATATGAAAAACAAATCGGTCTCTGTAGAAACATCGGTTGTGGAAATATCGGTTTTGAAACATAGATTCATTTTTAAAGATATATATCAGTTGCAGTGATTGGGAAGGCCAAAATGGTCAATGGGACTATGGCGCAACTGTCAACATTTTTGATGGGCCATTTCGAAAATGAATGGGCCATCAATATAATCTGAAGGGCCATTTCAAGAAATAACAAAGTGACAAACAAATATGAAATACGAGAGAAAACACGTTTTTAATTAACCGAATCCGATTTTTAATGCATGAAATGCAGTAAATTTAAAGGAACTTTCTTAGAATATAACTGACCCGTATTTTTGTTAAAATTACGACAGTTTTGGAAAGGGAACAGCCGTGCCATACAAATGAATGAAGTATTGTACCTCAAGTAAGTGCTTCGTTTAACCGGAAGTACTTTTTGACAGGTTTCAACCAATGAAATTTGTTGTTTTAAATTGACTGCAGTTAAAACGAAAGTAAAACAAGAAAGAAAGTCGTACACAAAATATTTTCAAAAACATCGCTAAAAATTGAATGCGCACCTTGGCGCCATGATTGATTGATTTAATGCGCCATTTTTCACTTCAATGCGACTATGGCGCGTGGCGCAAGCCCTTCCCAATCACTGCAGTTGTTGTTTTTTTAATAACATTTTTTTATATAATGTATATTTTACATATAAATGTAAATTTTATATGAGTATAACGTGCATTTCAATGAAAAGGAAAGATAATTTTCAATCGTGATATTGCAAAAAACTATAAAGCAAAAAAAAAACACATTAATGTTAAAACACCTGATTAGAACTATTTTCTTATAAAGAAGATAAAAGCCATACCATACATTCCTGTAGTCATGAAGTATATGTGTTTTTTAAAACATATTTAAACTTATTTTAGTGTAAAAAAAAATTGGGGGAAAATCGGTAAATCCGTTTGTACTTTTAAATACTAATTATGTTTTTTATCATTAATTAAATTGGGAACTGATTAACATCGACGTCGGAAGTATATAGAAAGGGAGGCTACCCACCCCCTTCCCTTGTTCCCACGCCTATGATTTATATTTCAATATGAATTTAATGCAAATAATTTTTTTTGAAGTATTTTTAACTAGAAAACTGACCAGTCAGCAAGGGCCCCGCCATGGGGTAGAATTAATAGGGTGCAGCTTACATTGTACTGTATGATTAAAAAATGTACGAAGAATAAGCAACAGCAACTGTATTCTTCAAATGTCAAGATTATTCCTGAATATTCAAAAACCTGAGAATAATATCCTTGTATTTACATTAGGCAGTAAAGAACAACTTAACACTGAATGTATATTTAAACAATAATGAAGCTTGTGTTATATAAAATGCCAGCCTTCAAAAAATGCAAATATTATGAAGGCTTGACCTTAACTTCAAACAAACAGCACTTGCAGACAAATTTTTTCATTAATCTTAAAGTGACAGATAAAGAAAAGTCTACTAAATTGTCCGCAGCAGGCTAGATAACTAATCCTAAGGGATTAATTGTACCTCTCTCATCATTTTCTTCAAAAGTTACAATAAGAACTTTTTAAGTATTAATGATAGAATGGGGTTTTTGTACAACTATCCTAAAACATTAATAATATTCTTGAATTAACACAAAGAGAAAAAAGTAAATCAAAGAATCTACTTCCATCTTTTTCTTGTTTAGAATTCAATGAAATCATAACTATTAAACAAAAATAAATTATAAACATTAATATTTAAACCCACATTTCAGAGTTTTCATAGCATTCCAAATTGACTTAACTTCAAAACAAATTTCATTTGCAGACAGAGGTGGAAATTCATCTCAACCTGGCAGATAAAGATAATGCTCTGGATTTTCTTCAGGAGGAAAGGTAATTCATCCCAAGGGACTCATAGCAGCATTCAGTTTACAAAGGGAACATCTTCAGCAGTTATCTCTCTTTGCCGATGCTTATTTATATAAAGTTAAGGAATCTACCCCACCACCCAGCTCCAAACCAGGGGACAAAGAGAACCAAACTTAGCATCAAAATATGTATTTCTGCCTATTGAACTACCATACCAAATTTGAACTTTATTGTGCAACTATAAAAAAAAAGTAAATTGGAAAAAAAACCGAAAATTTGTAGACGAAAGAATGGCAGACGGACAGACAGACTGACGGACAGAGTGATTACTATAGGGCACCCGCAAGTCATTAAATTTGTATTATCCTTAGTAATAAAGTGAAAGAGTCAGACGATATAGTCTGTCAACTTTTATAAAAATGTGGTCATTTGGGGTCCTTGATACATTTTTGTAAACCCCAAATTTTATCTTTTTCTGCATGTATAGTGGAGGTGAAAAGGGTATCAGATGATGACATCCGAAATTCTGCAATCGTATTAACCCATATAAGGCAATCAAAAAAAATCATTGACAATGCATCACTAAACCGCTTCTGGGTCATGTGATGTGTACCTGCTACATTCTTTATGTAAATGACCAATTGATTGCGAAACTTTTAGTGCGTGGACGAAGATAATGAAAGATTGCTAGGACGGCGGTACTGTGGAGATTCTTAGTTCTTACTCGTATTTGTTTCCCGTGATAGAAGTTTACAAATGTTCAGAATATCGCGCATGTTGCGAAGATACTGTAAGAGGATACATGTGTGGTCCTGAATAATTTTGCGTCTCATTTTGCACACTGGATGTATTACGCTACCATGACGAGATTCTATTGAATCTGCACTGTTTCAACCACTTTTGAAATAATGATATCAACAATAGTGTTTGGAAGTGCATTTCAATAACAAACATACCGGTATGTAATTAACACTATTGAAATACAACCACTATTAGGATAATTATATCAATAATGGTTGAGAATGCATTTCAATAACAAACATTGGTAATAACCACTATTGAAATACAACCACTATTGAAATAGTTATATCAATATTGGTTGAGAATGCTTTTCAATAACAAGCATAGGTAATAACCGGTATTGAAATAATTATTTCAATAGTGGGTGAGAGTGCATTTCAATAGCGTTAACTAACAAAGATAGTAACCACTATTAAAATACCTCTACTGTAAATATAATCATTTCAATAGTGGTTGAGATGCATTTCAGTAACACATATAGGTTGCAACCACTATTGCAATTACGTTCATTTTTGAGATGAAGATTTCGATATGGTTAAAATTATTGATTTCAAAAGTGCTTTGATCAATGAATCCCGTATATATTGAAAAAAAATGATTCAAAAGTTGCAGACACAGTGCAACTTTTCTTTCAATACTGGTAGTTTTCAATAGTGGTTGAAACCTATGTTTACCATATTGAAATGCTCTCTAACTCACTATTAAATAATTATTTCAGTAATGCTCGTATTTCAATAGTGGTTGAAAGTTATGGTTATTATATAGAAATGCACTCTCACCCACTATATAAATATACAGTGCAGGGAAATAATTTTGTTACAGCATCAATGCTGATTTTGGTGCTTCCTATGCTTGCTGATTTTGATGCTTCCTTTGCTTGCTGATTTTGATGCTAGTTATCCTGATCCTGGTTTGATCCTTATCCTGATGCTGGTTTGAAACTAGGTCAATGCTAGTAATGCTACCGGAAGTAGGATTTTCCTGCCGGAAGTGGATAATTCAAAAACAGCATCGCCATTAAAATTAATTTTTGGGGTAATTTTTATTTGTAATTTGTATTAAATGACTTTCCTTTATCTGTTTTCACTTTGGTCAATGCTAGTTCTATCCTTTGCTTGCTGATGCTGATCCAAGTAATGCTGTTTGTTTTTAATGCTGATGCTGATGCTAGTTCTATCCTGATCCTACTTATGCTGATCCTGATGCTGGTTTATGTAACAAAATTAGTTCCCTGCACTGTATAAATGAATTTGATGAGAAGAAATTAAAACAAATTTGATATTGCATATTAACTATTTTGATATTACAGAATATTATGAACTTAAAAATTAATTTTATGGTGGTAAGGGTGGAATCTGCATGTCCACATGAATTGCATATTAACAATTAACTGTCTGACATTAAATCCAAAAGAAAATCATTGATGTTTTATATCTTTTAAAAATGTTTTATGGTAGATAGCGCAGATCCAATAATCTTTTTGGAGTAATGAGTAGACAAGCATCCAGTTAAAGATTAATTAAGGTAGTTCTATACCCGGCGCTAAATGGGCTCAATCTTTAAAAATCTGCTTTTATAAGATAGACATACATCCCAGCAATGGATAGACACAAGAAAAATTATATGTCAACATGTTCACTTTTCCGCTATAGCCTATCGGAGTATATACCCCGAAATGTAAAATACTGAAAATTTACCTATCCTAGATTTTGTTGTATATAAATTAATTTAAGTCTTAATATTCAACTTTAATACCCAAAATAGAGTAGACACATGTTATTAAACAATAAAATATCATTGTTTTGCATGAATTATTATAAATAGATGCACTTTGTTAGGCTATTGTATCAAAATTTAATGTGAGAAAATATGCTTCCCAGGACAATCTCGGTCATTTAAAAAAAAATTATGGACTCAAACTTCGTAAATTTGCATTTATTTTATTTGCATTATTTTCACTAAATTATATTTAAGAAAAATAATAAGCTTAAAAAAATTATATGTTGACGCATTACTTTTCGTGGTATGAGCTCTACACTAAAGGTACCCCCCTATTTTCTTTCTTCCAGAAGTAATGTATTGCCACATATTTCTGTAATACTGTTAATGTTTGAGTGTATACTTGTATTAACAAGCTTGTACATTATTTAAAACAATAAATATACACACCCAAAACCTATTTTCCCTAAAAATTTATCTAATTTTTAATCGAAAAAAAAAATAAATAAAACACACTTGTCTTTAAATTGGAGACGATGAAAATGAAAGTAATTCACTGATTCTCAGAAACTGGATGATTTTGTAACAGAAAGTAACAAAGTATGCTGCAAGTGAATCAACTTTTGTCAAATATTTATTCAAAAGATAATTTTGCATTGGGGTTCGTGGGTAAGCAGGTTGGGGGAGGGGGTATGTGTTTTATGCAATTATTATTATTTAAAGTAAATTTTGTAATGTTTGATTAGTAAAATCCATAAATTTTCTAAGTGAAATCGTAGTCATTACTTTTCTTCCGAATTATCACTATTAGCTTCAACTTGGCCGCCGACAATAGTCGCCTCGATAGTTTGATACAGTCATGTTCTGATGTAGCATGTACATGTAAATGGTCCGTGTTTTCGACGCAGCATATCATGCAAACATGCATCATTCACAGAAATATCGTTTTATTACCTAATTATTTCTGTCATCCGAAAGTTGTTCCCAGCCTTTTTTTAAATTAATTTATCCTTAAACTGTACAAATATGTGTTTGTTGACGCGACCGACTTCGAGCAAAATCGATACCGGATATTTAAAACGCTAAGTAAAAGTCAAACCAATACAGTTAAAAACTCTCATCTCGGAAAAAGGACGCGCGGTTCCGGTTTTACTATTCGTAAATGACGTAGTGTGAGTATAGAACTACTTTCATGTGTTCAATGTAGGAAGGCTAGTTGCATGTCTCTTTCATTTCTTCAGAGCATGGTCTAATCTGTATTCCTCGGAAATAAGACAGAAGAGATGTTGGTCAGTTTATATTTGATGGCCAGTCTTTTATTTCCAAAATTGTAGGTGTAGATTAAGTTGTGAAGACTTATTTTATAATATAATAGGCATTTGGCAAGGTATAGAAATCTATGAATGATGCAATATTTGTTATAATTAATGCCTACACCACAGGAGATAGATAAACAAAATTTTTAAGTTGTGTAAAAATCATTGAAATCTAAAAATCAAGGTTGACATGATTTTCCTGTACTTTTAACTGTTTAAGATACATTGTAATTGTATTTTTTGACGGGCGTATCATGCTGTGGCGTAGCACTTTATTTTTAATTATTTCAATGATTTGTGAAATACTGTTGACATCTGTATCCGACAAAATCATCATATTCCGCAATATAAGGCCCACGGGCCATATAGGTCACCTGTGTATTGTGTAACAACTTTCAACACATCTTTGAGGACATTAGTCCTTGATGGCTTGAATTATTCGAGGACTAATGTCCTCAATGATGTGTTTAACAAATTTGCAATCTGATTAAAATCAGATCCTCAACATATGAATCATTTTATTATCTATAATTTATTTGGAAATTTGATTTTGCAAATCTGCGCCCTAGTCCCTTTAACCTTCCCCAAATAAATGTGTTTTTCACAAAGAAGGTTATAAAGCTTGTAATAGCTGAGAAAAATTGATACATTTCACTATTTATTCTGTGACAATAATGAAGACAAAGAGATGACATTCCAACCTTTTTGGGAATCCAATCTTGTATTGAAAACATGCTTTAGAACTGATAAGTTGTAGATAAAGGGTTAATCATATTCCCTTTAAAGCAGACGGGGAAAGAAAAGCTCAGTGTGTAAAACATGTTTTAGAATGTATACTTATAGTTGGGGAAAGAAAAGTTCAGTATGTAAAACATGTTTTAGGATGTATACTTATAGTTTTGGAGTTCATGAATAGTTCCAATGTAAATCAAAAATCTGTTAATTAAAGGGAACAAAAAAAAAGAAGAAAATTCAAAGAGGAGACAGATTTGCTTTGTGTTGTCTTGGACCAACAACATTACTACAAAATCCCTCAAAAATCAAGACTGAGGTCCTTAAATGTTGTGGGATAAGGTCAGTATATCTTTTCATGTTCTTGACTAACTTTTTGTGTATTAAAATTGCTAAGTATTTTTTTGTTGATTGCAAGCAATGTAATAGAATCACTCAATATGATATAAAATCTTA